CTGACATACCTGGTTGTAGCAGCTTTGTGCTTCCCCTGTCCTTGCACTCAGTAGGTCCAAGTGCAGGTAATGGGAGCTGTTGTTAGGAGTATTTTCTGAGAATTGTCAGAAAGAGCCAGCACAAGGAACTCTCAACCTGTGCTGCACATTCCATTAGTGAAGCAGGAAGAGAACTGTGGAAAGACACAACTTTAGGAAACAAAACTGAAGCTGAAGGCAGAGACACTCTGCAATATTTTCCAGCCTTTCTTAGCTGGGAATGAATGTCTGTGTAGTTGGCTGGAGCCCACTCTTGATGTGTTGTGTGCTTGCTCTTGTTCTGTGCTGCAGAGCTATTCACACAGCCAGAAGGGACACTGTCAGACCCTGGCAGTGATCCAGTCACTACTTCTTTATGGAATTATCAAACAGAGTAACAGGCCAATGGATCATGGGGTTCAAAATGGAGACACTCACTGTCCAGGTTGTTGCTGGCAGAGTTCCCAGGGCTCCCTGGCAGTCTTGGGGTACTAGGAGCAAGCTGTTGTAATGAGGCAGCCATTCTATTCTCTCTGTCTCTCCAAATGTGACCTCAAGTACCCCCAAACAGCTTGGCTGCAGTGATCTCATGCTTGGCAGTGATCTCCTTGAGCCTGTCTGCCCTGCAGTCTGTCACTCCCAGTGGAGTCTGATGCTCTCTCTGTGTTTGCAGATGGCAGTGCTGGAGATCCAGGGGAATGGGGAGTCCTCCTACGTGCCGCAGGAAGCCATCAACAGTGCCATCCAGCTGCTGGAGGACCCTCTGCAGCGGGTGAGCCACGGCCTCAGGCTCTGCATTGCTCTGCATTGCTCTGCTGCTGCTGCTGCTCGTGGTCTCACGCAGGTTTTTTCTCTAGGAGTTCATCCAGAAGTGTCTGGAGCAGGACCCTGGCCGGCGCCCCACGGCACGGGAGCTCCTGTTCCACCAGGCGCTGTTCGAGGTGCCCTCGCTGAAGCTCCTGGCTGCTCACTGCATCGTTGGGCACCAGCGTGAGTACCAGCCCTGGCAGCCACCTGCCCATGTGGGTCAGGGCTCTGCAGAGCTTGGCTGAGCTGTCAGTGCCCCCTGTGAGCTGGCACCCTGGGAACACCCTCCCCATGCCTGCTCTGCAGGACACAGGGCTGGGAGGGCTGTGAGAGCATCTCTGCTCTGAGAGCATCTCTGCACTTTCATTGCTTTTCTAAGGCTGGAGAGGAACTGCAATTGCTGCAAGTTGCTCCTTTTTTTTTTTTTTTAATAGATATGATTCCTGAAAATGCTTTAGAAGAAATGACCAAAAACCTTGACATGAACGCAGTGTTGGCAGAGATCAACCACGAGGACAGGGAAGGAGTCAAGATGATGTGAGTCCCCATGGTGTGCTCAGGGGGCTGCTCAAGGGAGCAGTGCTGGGGCACTGGTGTGGGCACTGGGACGCTGCCCATCACCTCAGAGTTGGTGTTTTCCCACTGACTGGGTGCCAGTGGGAGCTGCTGGAGCTGGAGGTGAAGGAGCAGTGCCTGTCTGGGCACACACCCCTCTGGGAAGGGTTATTCCTGGGTGGAAGGAGACCTTGCACCTGTTTCCTGGGAGTAGATTCTGTGCAGCTGAGATGAATAGTTCCCCAAATAGACAGATTAAATGAACATGCTGTGGTTGGAGCAGAACACCAGCAAAACATGGCTGAACAGTTTGGGAAGGTGCTCTGACCAATCACAGACTGGCCAGATGGAGTCACTTTCTCACTTCAGAGAAAGGGTTCCTCAGTGCTTTCCTAATGGAGCATCTTATTCCACGCTATGCACAGGGAAAGGCAGCTGAGGCAGCTGGCAGTGACACACAGCACCACTTACACTGTAGGGGTGGCCCCTAAGAGAGTGTCTGTAATACATACGAGCAAGCAGAGTGCCAAAAAAGTGAGGTACATTTTGGATAACAAAGCCTTGGCTAGTCAAGGGATTAGCTGAAGACAAAGATGTGAATATTGTATTCCCAGAGAAGCCTAGGGTGCTTCCAGGGAGCCCAGAGTTCTGGGATGCTCAGGCTGCTGAACAAGAGTAAGATGACAAGGAAGAACAGCTCTGTCCATATGAGCAGCTCTCTGAGCCACAGAGACCCTTCCAAAAGCTGACATTCCACTTGTCATAGTGCTAGGAAATGTGGTATAAAATTCCCTTTGGAATGTTTTTGATATAGTTTCAAAATGGAGGACAACAAGTGAACAACCAAAGCTGTAAGGAGAGATCCTCACACGCCTGGGCTGTCAGGGGGTGCCAGCCTGGAGCTTTCCTTTTGCTAGTGCCATACCTCGGGGGTGCTGGAAAAGGGAAAGAAAGCAGCAATCCCTTGAAATGTCAGCATCATTTCTGGATGGTTCATCAGACTGCCATGCAAACTAAGCTGCTAGAGAAAAATTGGAAGTTTTTGTTGAAACCTACTGCTGTGTCAGAGGATAGGATGATCCCAGCTGCTGGGGCTGTGGGAGGGGCTGGAGGCTGATCTGGGAGCTGAGGCAGGTGTGCAGCCCATAAAGCACCTGAGGAAGTCCTGTCAGGCTTCCAGCAGTTTTGCAGTCCTTGCCTCATCTCTGGAATGCTTCAGAGCAGCCTTGAGGCAGGTGTTTGGCTGTTCCAAGTGTTTGTTGCAACCAGGGACCTGGTATGGCTGGTATTTGTGAAACAGCTCACCAGGGGCACTGTCACTGGGCCACCCTCCAAATGACTGCATTGCACAGTGTGAGGGCTGTGAGAGTGGCTCTGCCAGAGCTGCTGCCTCACCCTCAGCTCACGTCGGTGGTTATGTCCTTAAGGGAAGATCAGAGCTTGTCACACCAGTGGCTGCCTGTCCATACCCATCCTGCCTGTGGACACAGCCCAGGACATGGGGATTTGAAACTGCACCCCAAGAGACCCCAGTGGATGGTCCTATGAGACGATTTCTCATCTCAGGACATTTTGTTTTCCAGCTTCTCACAATCTCCAGCACTGGAGCTGGACAAGTTCCTGGAGGATGTGAGGTAAGAGGGATTTTTTAAGACACCTTCCTTTGTGTGTGAGAGACTGGAAAAGTTCTGGAGAGGTGTAACCTCAGATGCTGCTCCTTCCTTGTAGGAATGGAATCTATCCCCTCACAGCCTTTGGGATGCCACGGCCCCAGCAGCCCCAGCAGGTGGTGGTGAAATCTCCCATTGCTCCCCCGTCGGTGAAAACCCCAACTCCAGAGCCCGCCGAGGTGGAGACCCGCAAGGTAAAGGCTCAGCCCCGCTCTCCATGGCCAGGCAGGGCTGGGGGGCAGCTGCTGATGGCGTCTGTGCCTCTGTTCCAGGTGGTGCTGATGCAGTGCAACATCGAGTCCGTGGAGGAGGGTGTGAAGCACCACGTAGGTTTCTATGGCTGTGCAGGGCTCGTGGCTCTGATGTGCTGCTGGTGCCTGGGGTAACCCTGCAGTGCTGCAGCTGCCACCATAGGACCCAGAGCCTGTCCCAGGCCTGTGCCTGCTGCTGACCTGGCCCCTGGCCCACCCCCAGGCCCTGGATGGTGCTGACAGCTGCAGTTCAGGATGGAACTGGCTGTAGCTCTTCTGTTAGATCCCCGTGGGGCTCTGGAGGGGTGGTTCCCATCCCAAGGGGCATTTCTACAGTTGCTTTGGGCTTGCCATGGCAGCTTGCAGGACTGCAATTCCTCATGAGAATTTCTTTGCCCTGCAGCTGACACTGCTGCTGAAACTGGAAGACAAGTTGAATCGACACTTGAGCTGTGACCTTCAGCCCAGTAAGTACCTTCTGCCCCTGCCAGGTGCACTGGGCCAGCAGCACGCTTGGAGCAAGGACTGACACCTTTCCTTGTGTTGTAGATGACAACATCCAGGAGCTGGCAGCTGAACTGGTCCAGCTTGGGTTCATCAGCGAGGTAAGCAGGGACTCAGGTAGGGCTGTGGGCCTGTGTTCCTTCCTCAGAGTTCAATGGTTTGTGCCCTTTTTGGGGGCAGGAGGCAGGAGGAATAAGCCAGGTCCCTGCCCTGGGGGTCTCCAGCCCTGCTCTTAGCTCTGAGCGGATGGGGCTTACTCCTCACTGTCCTTGTTCTGCCCAGGCTGACCAGAGCAGACTCACCTGTTTACTTGAAGAGGCATTTAGCAAGTTCTACTACACTCGGAACGGAGCCCTGACGGCCGTGACTGTGTCATCTTAGCCCCGTGGCTCCCGGGCAGCCAGCGTGGCCTCGCTGCCTGCGACCATCTGTGTCTGCCCTCGCTGTCGGGCACCCGCGAGACCCCAGCTGCAGTGCTTGGAAGCTCATCCTGCATGTGCCGTGGCTGGGCTCATCGACAGTCCTCCCTGCCCACCTCCTGAAGGGGACTTTGCGCATCAGTATTATTTCCAGCCCTGTTTTTGTTGGGATTTGCCAGGTTGTGCTGCGGAGCTGAGGCCTGGCTTGGGGCGTTCTGCAGCCCCACTCATGTGCATGGAGTTTGTTCTGTTTGAATTGTACAAAGTGTCTTTTGCACAGCACAGAAATGGGTTTTTTCTTTCCTTTTTTTTTTTTTCTTTTTTTTTTTTTTTAATTTAAAGGTAAGCAGGGGTGAGCCCCTAAGCCCTGCATCCCCGGTCACTCCCCCCCATTCCTGCGCCACGGGCCCAGGGGTGGCCGAGCTCGTCCCCCCTCCCCGCCCGGCGCTTCGCTCCCGCCGCCGGCTGCACTTTGTTTACTGGTTCGCACCGCCGGGGTCACGGCGTGTGCTGGCCCCGGCTGCGGCCCCGCGGCCCCCGCAGCCCCCGGTCTTTACCGGGGCCTCCCGGGGCTGCAGCGGCCCCGGGCTCCAGTGTCATCCTGGCGCGCGGCGGGGCCGAGCCGCGGCTCCTGCATCTCATTTCTATCATTTCCTATTTTTAATAAACTGTTTTGTAAAGACGCGAGTGCCGCCTCTTGCCGGGCGGGGCGGGGCGGGCTGGAGGGGCCGGGCCGAGCCGCCCGTCCCTGCCCCGGGGCGGTGCGAGCGGCGTTGGCGGCGGCCATGGCCGGGGGCCGGCGGGCGGCGGGAGCGCTGGCGGAGCCGCGGCGGCTGATGCGCACCGGGCTGGGGCTGATCGTGCTGGGCCACGGCAGCCTCGTGCTGGGCGCCATCGTGCACGGCTCGGTGCTGCGGCACGTGGCGGGCGCCCGCCGCGCCGTCACCCCCGAGTACGCGGCGGCCAACGTGGTGTCGGTGTGCTCGGGGCTGCTGGTGAGCGCCGCCGGAGCGGAGCGGGCGGGGGGCGGCGGGCCGGGCCCCACCCGGGCCCCGCTGAGCGCTGCTCTCCCCGCAGAGCATCGCCGCGGGCATCGTGGCCATCCTGGTGTCGCACAACCTGTCCCGGGCGGTCCTGGTGAGTGCGGGGCTGCGGGGGGGCCTCGGCGCCGCCCTGCCCCGCCGGCAGCCGCTGCCGCGGACCTTGGCCCCGCGGGCTCCTTCCGCCTCGGCGGCGGCTGCCGGCGCTCCGGGTGCCGCCTGTCCCCGCTCGGCCGCTCCCAGAGGGTGGGAGCGCCGTTCTCGGGCAGAAGCGCTTCGGGGGGCGAAGCTGCGGCCGGGTCGGGGGTCCCGCGTGGGCTCGCAGGGTGGGCGGGCACGGGGCGGGTGCGCCGGGCTGGGGGCTCCCGGCGCCCGGCCGAGCCTGCCCGGGGGTCCCCACGGAGCCCGAGCCAAGGGGCGTCCGGCGGTGCCGAGCTCACAGGGGGTGGAAGGATGCGAAAGGTGCGAGAGCCTCATCCGAGGGCGTGGCTGAGCCATCCTGGAAGAGGCGAGAGGTCCTGGGTGCCCCTCGGGGGAGCGGCTCTGCAGAGACGCCGGTGCCCAGCCCGAGCGTTTCCCCGAGCTCCTGCCATCCCACTCGTGTTCTTGCCGCCTGCAGCATTGGACTCTGCTGGGCGTCTCTCTGCTGAACTGCCTGCTGTCCACGGCGTGCAGCGTGGGGCTGGCGCTGGCCTTTGCCCTCACGGTGCACAGCCGGGGCACGCACCTGGTCCGGGGCTGCAACAGCTCCGCGCTGCCCCTGGACGCCCGTGCAGCCATCGCGACCAACGACTGTCCCTTCAACACCACTCGCATCTACGTGAGTCACTGCACAGCCCCACCCCTCCCAGCAGCTTCTTTCTGCTTCCTCTCGTCTTTTCTTTTCACTTTCCCTCCCGCTTCCCTTCTCTCTCCCTCTCCCCCTTCTTTCCCCTGCTGTCCACACAGTCTCTGCTGAGTGTGTTCAACCAGCCTGGTGCAGTGCCCACGTTGCTGTGACCCCCTGCCCCACAGGACACAGCCCTGGCCCTCTGGTTCCTCTCCCTGCTGCTGGCAGCTGCGGAAGCCGTGCTCTCGGGCAGGAGCTGCTTGGTGGCTCTGGTCTTCCGGGGCATCGGGCCCTGTGCACACAGCTATGCCAAAGAGCAGGTACAGATCTCCCTGCATCTCCCTCCCCTGTGATTGCTGCCTTTGTGCTGCATTTGTAAGGTGCTGGGTTCTGCTGGGAACAAGGAGGCTGTGCAGCAGTAGGGGGGTGCTGAGTTGGAACCTTTTCTAGCCAGCCTAAGTGCCAGACCAGCACCCCTTCATGGGCAGTTGCAGAGGGACCCTCTTCTTCATCCCCTAGTAGCCAGGCCTGTTCGTTTTTGTGAGAACACTGCCCATCATGTGTCCTTGCCACCCTAACTTCTTTTTGTCTTCTTTTTTCCTCTCTAGCTGGCCAGGCCAAGTACAGCAATGGAGAAGCCACTCCGTGAGAGGCAGCAGCTCCTGGCAGGAATTTCTGACTCTCCAGTGTAGCTGGAGAGGTGAGTGCCCCACGTGGGCCATGCTTGGGATGGGGGGAGCAGGCTCTGCCGTCAAGAGGGCCCATGCCCACACCAGCCCCCCAGAACACAGGCAGAGGAGTCAGTGATGCTGGGCCCTGCAGCACAGCCTGGCACTGACACTGCTCCTCTGCTCCCAGGTGATGCTGCAGGAGCGCTGTGACCCAGCAAGGCTGGGGCCAAGGTGGTGTCACAGCTCCTGCAGTGGGCTGCAGGGGTGAGGGTGTGTCCTGCTCCCTCCCCACCTGGGACAGCCCCTGCAGGTCTGCAGGTGCCGTGGGCCCTGATGCTCTCCCATCCTCGCCCCAAGCTGCTGGGCCCTTCCTGGTGTGCTGAAGGTTCTTGGTTTCTCGCAGCAGTGATGGGGGTGGGCAGTCCTGGTGCCATGGCAGGCATGGCAGCTGGCTGTGCTTGTGCTCAGATGTGTCAGGGAACAGAAAGGGAAGAATCCCTTTGGTGTAGATCTCTAGTTTTTTGAATAAATAAACTTTTCCTTTCTACACTGGCTGTTCTAAGTGGCTCTGCCAGGTGAGTGCTGGCTGGGAGCAAGGCATGCCAAGGGAAGCAAAGTGCAGCTACTCTGTGAGCCTGTCCCTGTGCCTGCCACTCCCCAAGCACAGGGATGGTGGCAGAGCTGTGGCCTCAGTGTGGAACACACCCATGGATGTGCACTGCACCCAGCAGCTGCAGTGTTCTGGGCCCAGCATCCTCTGGCAAACAGGAGCACTGCAGGGCTGAGATAACATGTTTATTGGATGTGGAGGGTGCTGAGGAACAGGCCTGAAAGCTGCCCTAGTCCCGCTCACTGGAATGAGAAGCTGGTGCTTGGGAGTCCCCCACACCACCGTCGGAGGAACTCGATCACATCCTGGCCTGCTGGGCTGTGGGATGTCTGCAGAAAGAGACCGGCCTTGGCACGCGAAGGGACTGACCCCGGTGCCCCCTGCCTGAAAGGCACCCAGTGGGCTGGCAGGGCTGGGTCTGCTGATCCCCAGCAAGCAGCACTGTCAGTGCTGCAGTGAATGCCCTGGGATCATGACTCACCCAAGGATGCTGCACTGCCAGCACGAGGGGCTGAACCCACCCACAGCCTGTCCCCTGCCTGGGGGCTCTGGCTCACCTTGACAGCCATCACGAATTTGTACCACGCGTCCTTCTTCACTTCCCGGCCTGGCCTCAACTCAATCTTGTTTCCCAGCACTGGGTACCCTGAGCACAAAGTGACACATTCAGAACAAGCTCAGCCCCACAGCAACCATCCCCCCACCTGGGGCACCCCTTCCCTGTGCTGTACCTGCCCCACAGCACGGTGTGTAGGGGGAATAATGCTGCCTTGGTCTCCAGGAGACCAAAGTGGAGAAGGGGTGTTCAAAGTGGGGGGATCAAATGAAGATTAAGGCTGAACTGTCCTTGGGCAATGACACCCAAGTGTGTAGGTCCAACCATGGCACCCAGCTTCTGACTCTCAAGCCACAGCCCTGTTCCTGGTGGCCCTCTCCTGCTCCCCCTTCTCTGACCCTTTTTTAGTCCTGCACTACAGAGCAGGGCCAGGTGCTGCCCATTCTTGACTGTGCTGGCCAGCCTGGAGTCCCCAGGCAGAGCTGTGTCAGCCTGAGCCATCCCTGAACCACAGAGTGTCTGAGCTCAGAATTGCTCTGGGGTCTGTATGGCTCATGTGGAGAGCTAGGGATCTGCGTGTGGAAGATCTCGGGCTGTACGGGTAGATAGGAAGCCCCCCCTCACCCTGCAGTCTGACCTTTGCTCTGTACCTGGCCACACCCGGCCGGACGTGAGCAGAGGGAAGTGACACAGACTGCCCAGTCCATAAATACCCCTGAGACCCCTCAATAAACGCCATTTGCTGTCCACCACATTGGTGTATGTAGCATTGGACTGAGTGACCCTGGGCCTTGGGTCACCGTGCCGGACCCCCCGAACCAGGTCGCCACACCATAACGGCAACAGGCTCAACCTCCTGTTCAGGCAGGGCCACCCCAGCCCAGGGCTGTGTCCAGACAGCTTTTGACTGTCCCCAAGGATGGCAATCTCACAACTTCTGTGCAACCGGTTCCAGTGCTCGCTCACCCCACAGTAAAAATGCCCAATCTCCTGCAGCAGAGCTGGTTCCCCACAGCCACACGGTCCCTCCACTGCTGTCAGAGCACAGCCCAGGCCTCCGGCAGACCCACCCTGCCGTTCCCACTCCTGGCAGGGCACTGTGTCATCTCTTGTCTGAGCAAGCTGGCCTGGAGCTCACCTGTGAGCAGGCAGGGCAGGGAGGCCACCCCTGTCCCTGCTGCCACCAGTGAGGCCTCGTAGGAACCGCGCTCGTCCTGCGGCAGCGCCTGCTGCAGCCGCTGGTCCATGGACACCGTCAGCACCCAGTCCCTCACCTCCTCCCGCTGCTCCTCCTGCGGGCAAAGCCAGTGCCAGGCTGAACTGGGCTGCTGCTGCTGCCCCAGCACAGCCCCAGGGCAGCAGGAGCACAGGGGAGAGCAGGACAGGTGTGCACCATGTGCACACAGCACACACTGCATGGTGCACGGCGGGGCTTGAGTGAGAGTGAGAGTGTGTGTGTGTGTGTACAGGTAGGTGTGTGTGTGTGTGTGTGTGTGTGTGTGTGTGTGTGTGTGTGTGTGTGTGTGTGTGTGCTGGGGGGAAGAGAGAGAGGGACAGAGAGAGAGAGAGAGTGTGTGTGTTTGTGTACAGGTATGTGTGTGTGTGTGTGCTGGGGAGAGAGAGAGGAAGAGAGGGACAGAGAGAGTGTGTGTGTGTGTGTGTTTGTGACGCTAGCAAGTTATTTACAGATGTGAACAGGATGGGGCTGCTATGGAAAGTGTCTCGAGCTATTTATTTTTTCAGCATCAGTCTCATTACATGATTATGATAATGGAAAGATGCTAACAGCTCACAATCCAGGCAGCAGGCCCAGATGTGTGTGTGGTGTGTGTGTGTGCTGGGGGGAGAGAGAGAGAGGGACAGAAAGAGAGAGAGAGACAGAGAGACAGAGAATGCGTGTGCGTTTGTGTACAGGTGTGTGTGTGCTGGGGAGCACAAGAGAGAGGGTGTGAGTGTGTGTCTATGTATGTACAGGTGTGTGTGCATACAGAGGTGTGTGTTTTTCTGTGTGTGTACACAGGGGTGTGTGTGTATGTATGTGTGCTGGGGAGCACAAGAGAGAGAGTGTGTGTGTACAGGTGTGTGTGTATAGGCGTGTGTGAGTGTGTGTACATGGAGGTGTGTGTGTATGCACACAGGTGTGTGTGTGTACAGGTATGTCTGTGTGTATAGTAGAGGAAATGTATTGTATTTGAATATCTGTACAGAGGCTTTGCCTCTTGTCTAGAGGCAAAGTCTCTATAACCATATTCAAGTAGAGGCAGGTCCCGGTTGTCCTTGATGGGCTGCAGCTGTGATGTCCTTAATTTGGCTGCAGCTGTGACTAATGAAGATAACTGGGATAAAAGGGGGTGGGTTAGCCAGTCAGGGAGAGCCTTGAAGGAGTCCTGAACTGGGAAAGAGCAGCATGCAGAAGAAGGAGTCTGTGCTGTGAAGATCTGCAGCCATAAGAATGCACTGAGGAGGTATGGGACTTTAGAAATCTGATAACAACAGTATGGAACTTTAGAAATAGAACCACAACAATACAACAGTATGGGACTCTAGAAATAGAAGAACAATATGTATGTACACAGGTGTGGGTGGGCACACAGGTGTGTGTTTGTGTGGCTGTGTGCAACAGGTCTGTCTCACAGCTGTGTGCACATGTCTCTGTGTGTGTGTTCACAGCTGGTGCACACGTCTGTGTGCGTGTGTACAGGTGTGTGTGTCTGTGTGTGTGTCTGTGTGCTCAGTGGAGGGACAGGCAGGAGGTGCCAGTTCTGGGTCTGTTTCCATCCCTGCAGCCTCTGCAGTCCCAGCCCCACCCCACTCCCTGTTAGAGGCCCTGCAGCAGCAGCACTGCTGAAGAGGACAGGTGGCACTCACAGGCACGTGCTGATGGGCTGGAAGGGGCACTTCGAAGGGAATGTCTGTCTGCTGAAAATCAGAGTGGTCCAGGGAATCCAGGTTCCCTTCTTCAATGGCCTGGAAAGAAGGGGTAGAGCACTAGGCAATGCCAGCTGCAGAGCTCACAGGACAGTTCATGGCCAGGCTGCCCCTGCCTGTTGGTGCTGTGGTGACCAGGCCCTCCTGTCACCCATGACCACACTCTGCAGTGTCTCAGACTCTGCCCTGTGCAGGTGGCCTTGAAGAAGGAAAAGATGCAATTGGGTGCTTTTGTTTTCCCCCAGCTGCTGCTGACAGCACCTGAGAGTGTGGCACAGTGGGGTGTGCCAGCTCCCTTGGATTTGGTGTTTCTGGTGGCCAGCCTGCTGCACAAGCAGGGGACTGAGGGGACTCCAGAGTCCTTTATCACAGTGGACAAAGCACTGGGCCATGGCCTCCACCTCCCAAGTAGTTTTTCTTCCCTTGGAACAACCTGAGTGATCACCCTAAAAGCTGTAATGGCATCTGCAGCCACAAGGATTTCAGGCCTCAATTGTCAGGCCAATGTGCTCTTTGCTGCCACGTGCACAGTGGCACTGGCATGCCCAGGGTGACCTGGGCAGGGCATGGCAGAGCCTCCCACAGGGAGTGTGAGGGTGCCCCCTGCTCCAGGCACACTCTGGGTGGGGTCTGGGGGCTCTCCCCATCAGTCCAAGCTCCAATGTGCTGCCCTGCAGGAGCCTCAGGTGAGCCTTGCCCGGCCTGGGGGTCTGTGGTGGCCCTGTGGCAGCAATGGCACTGTCCCCTTAGAGAGCCAGCCCTGCCTGCCCCACAGAGCATACTCACATCTGAGAGGTCCAGGAAATGGTTCAGGAAGACAAATGCCATGTTCTCCCAGCTGACTGCCTGGTATGGAGAGGAACCCTGAGTGAGAGTGGGCAGCTCATCCTTGAAGTAGTTTTTTGTAATACTTTGAAGTAGTTTTGTTTTGCATCCCCAAATGGTTTATCCCAGACTGTACCCCCTTCCCTTTACCTGTGTTATCCCTCTCCCAGGATGAGATCATCCCCAAACGCCCACCCTGGCTCTCTGTCAATGACTCAGCCTCCCATCCCCTCCATCCAGAAGCTTTGGTCCAGGATGTTGAGTGATTAGCCAGGGGTCAGCCCCCCAAGCCTTGCCCCACACGCTGTCCTAAATGTCCATCCCCCAGTACCCATCCCCTAGGGTCACTTATTGGTGAGTAAAATGTTATCTACTTTCAGTTTCCACCTCCCTTTAAATGTGACCTTGGCACACATCCTCAGAGCCAGCTCTTCTCCCAGAGCCAGGGCTGGGAAGGAGGTGGCTCTGTGTGTGCCACAGTGCCCAACCAGCTCATCACCACAGGCTGTCCCACAGAATGCAGACAGGCATTATGGCCAGGCTGGATGGGGCTTGGAGCAGCCTGGGATCGTGGAAGGTGTCCCTGCCCATGGCAGGAGATGGAACAAGAAGAGCTTTAAGGTCCCTT